GGGGGGGCGGTTGCAGGGTCCAGGTGCCGGGGGGGGTGCAGAACCGACCCCTCACTCCCCCTCTCGCCCCTCAGTGGTTATCAGCCGGCAGCAGCGCCGGGTGCAGCTGATGAGGATCAAGCAGCGGGAGGAGCGGAAGGAAAAGAAGAAGAAGCGGAGGCCCCCCCATCCCCTTCCCCACCCACACAAGGCCCACCTGCCCGAGCCCAGCTACCGCCGCAAGCCAACCCCCGTGCGCCGCTTCGACGGGGACGTGCTCTCCCCCGTGAGTGCCGTGCCCCGGGCAGAGCCCTCCCCGGGCGCTGGGGCTGTGCGTGGGCCGGGGGGAGGCAGGAGCCCAGCGCTCTGGGAACGGGCGGGCTTCTTACCTGGCAGCCCAGGTGGGCTCTGCCCTGCACATTCGCAGCGTTGCCTCGTTCTGCCAGAAACCTTCACCACAGAGTGAAACACAATAAACTAGGGGGAGAGACGGAGCCAGCCTGTGGCCTCCTTGCCCTGCAACTCCCCACGGGCATCAGTCCCAGCCGGGGGCCCCTTTGCCTTCTCCCGCCAGCACCAGGGCTTCTGGACAGAGACCAGCGCCTGAACCTGCCCCAGTTCCGGGGGTGGGGGTGGGGAGAGCTTTCCCATCCTCCGTCCTCAGCTACAGCTCATGGGGGGATGCCAGGTCCTGCACCCCAGTGTGAAGGCATCAGACACCCCCAAACAGCCCCAGTGCCTGCCACCTAAGGGAGCCTCCCGTAGCAGGGCTGTGCTGACCCCCGGGAGTGACCCGGGACTGGGGCACTTCCTGCAGCGTGGGCGGGCAAGGCCCTGGCTGAGGTCAGGTGCTGGTGGGTGGCAGAGCTTGGAGCAGGCCCAATGCCAGGTTCATGGGAGAGGGGGCTGGTACCTGCTGTGGGGCAGGGAGTGGCAAGGGGTCGTGGCTGAATCTGAGGCTCCAGGGGAGGCTGGGAGCAGCCCAAGGGGAAGGGCTGGGCCGCAGACTAGCCCCAACGCCGAGCCCAGTGAGCGGGCACCCAGCTGACAACGCCTCCCTGGCTGAGCACCAGCAGGGAGTGACCCCCATTGATCCCCAAACCCTCCTCTCTGCTCCTGACACAGCGCCCCCACTCTCCGCCCTCCTCCCAGCACCCTTCCCTCCTCCCTCACATCCCCCACCCCTGCCCGCCTGCATGCTGCCCAGAAAAAGGCCTCAAGGATCAGTGAAATCATGGCCCCAGCCACTCCCCTCATTTCCTGCCTGTCAAGGTCACTTGCAGTTTGCCCCCCACCTTGCTGCCCCCATCCTGTGCTCTGCTGCCTAGACTCCCCCTGTGGTCCCACCCCTGGGGGGCGAGTGCCCCCTGGCCTTTTCCCCAGACTCCCACACGCTGCCCCAGGCCGCAGGGTGTCAGGGGAGAACCGCCTGGCTGCAGCAACCCGAACTAGGGAATTTACTTCCCCTCCCGGCGGGCGGGCTGGGGTGTGCGGCAGCGGCGCCACCTGCTGGGGAAGGGCCGTACTGCAACAGCCTGGCAGGTCCTTGCCCCAGACCAGGCAGCACAGACCCAGAGCTGGGGGGAGGGACTGGGGTGGCAGCGGGAGGGCTGGGGACATGATGCTCATTTCCCTCCTCTCTCACCCAGAGCTACATCCAGAGCTTCCGGGAGCGGCAGACGGGGACGTCGCTGAGCAGCCTCATCACAAGCACGCACGCCGTGGTCGACCTGGACTATGACTGCGGCTCTACAGTGCCCTTGACCATGGGCTCTGGGCCAGCGCTTCGGGTATAGCCCAGACCCCCGACCCCTCCTGACACCAGCAACAGGGCCGCGCCAGGCCAGCACGGACCGACACACCAGGGCCGCGCCAGGCCAGCACGGACCGACACACCAGGGCCCCGCCAGGCCAGCACGGACCGACACACCAGGGCCCCGCCAGGCCAGCACGGACCGACACACTAGGGCCCTGCCAGGGCCAGGACAGACCGACACACCAGGGCCCTGCCAGGGCCAGGACAGACCGACACACCAGGGCCCGGTCAGGGCCAGCATGGACCAGCCCTCCAGACACACCAGGCCAGAAGGAGTCAGATGCCAGGGGGTGTTTGAGGGGAGGGTTGTGGCCCGTTTGGGGCAGGGAGGCCATCCCTGGGGCTGTGTGACGGGGTATGCGCAGGGCTCTGCCCAGTGATCGCTAGCCGGCGAGCAATGCAGGGAGAGGGTTAATCCTGCTCGCTGGCACAGACACTGCATGGCAGCGTGGGACACGTGGACTCCTGGAGCAGGGTGAGCGCCCCACCCCCACTCCCCGAGGGGGCACAGCCCATGGCAGGGGCTGATGAGCCATGGCCCCATGTGCCAAAGGGGCCCCAGAGCACCTGGTACTACCCAGCTTTCTCCCAGAGGCCCCCAGGAGCAGCTCCCTCCATGCCTGCCCTTAGCCCCCCACTCACTCCCAAGCAGCTCTGTGAGCGGCTTCCTGAGAGCCTGTTCCCCCCATTCTCTGCCCGCCCCAGCGTAGCTCCATGATGCCTGTTCCCCCCAGTCCCCGCCCCCCCAGGGTAGGTCCATGGGGCCTGTTCCCCCCACAGCGTAGCTCCATGGTGCCTGTTCCCCAACCCCAGCCTGTACAGCTCCCTGGGAGCTGCCCCCTAAAGGCCAGAAGAGGCCGTTCCCTTGGAGAACAGGCCAGGGTAGGTGCTGTCCCATGCCCTCATCATGCGCTCACCTTGCCAGGCACTGGGCTGGGGGCTGTGGGCACCGCCCGCCCGGAGGGGCAGTGTGAGCGCAGCAGCTCTGCTCCCCAGTGCACGTGAGGGATTGTCTCGTCCCTGGGACTGGGCCTCTCATGCCCCAGGGCCAGCAGCTGCCAGGCCTGCCCGGGGCTGGGGCATTTTCGGCTGTGTATGTGGCCCTTCTCCAGCAGGCAGGTCTGCCCTTCGGCCTCATGGCAGCTGGCACTGGGGCCAGACTGGGCACCCAGCACCGCCCCTGCCACCTGCATCTCGCTGTCCATTCTGCTGACAGAGAACAAGAGGCACCTGGCTGGTGTGAGGCGGGGAACGGACCATGGGGCCTTTCCCCCTCGGGGACCCTGCCACTGACCCTGGTCAGGATGGGACAGGCTGGCTGGGGGGCTCAGGAATGGAAGCCGAGGCCTTTCCCCTCCAGGGCCGGGGGACTGGCTTGCTCAGGGATATGGGGCCTTTCACCTCTGGGACCGAATCGGGACACGTACTGGCACTGTTTGCGGGTGACTGGATTTCTAATGGGGATGGGGCGGGGGAGGGGCCTGACTGGGCTGGGCTGGGGGATTGCAGAGCTGAGGCTGGTGCGCTGGGACGCTTGGGGCTGCATTTTGCAGCTGCGGGGGCACAAAGAAGCGTCCCCTCCATCCAGCTGCTCTGGAAGGACTCCCTGCCCCAGCCCATGGGCTGTTCGTGTTGCTGTGAGTTGTATTAATTTATTACTGACTAAACGGGGCCATCAAACCTGGGATGGACCCGGCCCTCCCCCCAGGAGGCTGCTGGATCTGGACAGCGCTGGAGGAGGATGGGGCCCTTTGCTGGGCGTTTTGCTAGGGGCTCCCCCAGCACACGCCTCTCCTGCCATCGCTGCCCCAGCCGTCACTGGGCCTGCCCTCCAATGCCCTCAGGGAGCCCAGCCGGCGGACAGGAACCGCAGCGGCTCCCGCCCCCCCAGCCCCACCAGCAGAGGGGCCCCAGCAAATGGACTGGGACCAGGGAACTCCTGCCCCCCTTTCCTTGGGGCGGGGTCGTACCTGCGCACTCAGCCGCAGCATGGCCGGCCCCCTCCCCATCTAGCCATGGGACGCTGCATGTTTCCCTTGCCCCTGATGCCCAGGACCCTGAACCCTGGTTTCTTCCCCCTTTTCAGTCGTTTTGTAAATGTGCCAAACGCTGCCGGGCCACAGCCACGCAGTAAAGAGCCTTTTGGAGCTGCGCCTCTGTCTGCTTGTGGGGCTGTGCCGGGCGCTGGGTGTACCTGGGGCATGGGGGGGGCATGGGGGGGGGCACAGGGCCATTGCCCCCCCTTTGCACCCGAGCCTGGGCGGGTCCCTGTGAGCCATGGGGCAGCTTCCCCCAGTTGCGAATGACCACGGAGGGGCTGCAGCTGGTGGATCCCACCGCACCCCATGGGGTGCCTCAGAGCCCTGCCCTCAGCAGAGCTAGGATTGGCCCAGGGTGCTGTCAGTCTCAGACAGGGTTCCCTGATGACCCCCACGTGCTGGTAGCAGGGGGGGCAGCGAGGGGGGCATGGATTGAGGACCCACCGCAGGGGGCCTGGCAGAGTCACCAGCCTCGGGACCAGGGAAAGGCCCCGTCGCCATGTGCCCCTCATCCCTCCAGCTCTCACCACGGGGGCATGGCCGTGATTGAGGGGAGAGGAAGCTGCCAGGTGATTTGGGGGCATACGGAGCAGGGGTAGTGCTAGGTGCTTTGGGGACATGGGGAAGCTGGGCACTGCCAGGTGATTTGGCGGCATATGGGGTTGTCCCGGAGTCACGGGCTGGGGGCTCGGGCGCTGCGCTGAGTGACGCCAGCCAGGACTTGAGGGCAGCGTCTCCCCTCAGGACCCCTCACCAGGGCAAGGACCCTGCCCGGCTTCAGCCCCTCCCTGGATCCGACCTCGGAGCGTTCAGCCCCCTGCTCACCCCGGGAGCTCCCCGCAGCGAGTCCCCCTGGATGGGACCCCTGGGGAGCCTCCCACCCCCCCACAAGGCCCTGCCCCCCACTCCGCAGCCAGCCGTGACTCCCAGCCAGCGTGGGACACAGACGGGTTCTTAGTCGGGAGCCCAGCGTAGGACAGAGCTTGTGAGCACAGAAATCAGGGACCGGCAGCAAAGTCCAGCTTGGGGGGATCCAGGGCCCAGCGTGTCGTCCCCGCCTGAGTCCCAAACCAGGAGACAGCAGCTTCCAGCCTCAGTCACCCCCGGCTGCCCCCCTGCGGCCTTTGTCTCCTTCCCCGGCAAACAGGGCCCCTGGGCTCTGGTCTCCAGCCCCTCCGGGGGCTCTGGCAGGGGAGGGGCCCGGCCGTCAGTGGCCGGGATACAGGGTGTCGGCCATTGTCTGTGCCCAGGCAGCCAGTCGGTGTCACACCTGCCCCAGGGGGTCTCTGCAACAAACACACCCCTTATCCCACCACCTAGATCGGGGTGGGCAAACTACGGCCCGGGGGCCGCACCTGGCCCTTCAGACATTTTATTCTGGCCCTCGGGCTCCCGCCAGGGAGCAGGGCCGGGGGCTTGCCCCCTCCACGTGTGCCATGGCTCCACATGGCTCCCGGAAGCAGTGGCCAATCTCTCCTCCGGCTCCTACGTGTAGGGGCAGCCAGGAGGCTCCGCACGCTGCCCCCACCATAAGCGCAGCCCCGCAGTTCCCATTGGCCGGGAACTCTGGCCAATGGGAGCTGCAGGAGCAGCGCCTGCGGACAGGGCAGTGTGCAGAGCCTCCTGGCCACGCTTCTGCGTAGGAGCTGGAGAAGGGACATGCCGCTGCTTCCGGGTGTCTCTTGAGGTAAACGCTGCCCAGAGCCTGCACCTCTGACCCCCTCCCACGCCTCCAACCCTCTGCCCCAGCCCTGCTCCCCCTCCTGCCCTCCAAACCCCTTGGTCCCAGCCTGGCGCACCCTCAACCCCTCAGCCCCATCCCGGAGCCTGCACCCCCAGCCAGAGCTTGCACCCACACCTGCACCCCAACCCCCTGCCCCAGCCTGGAGCCCCGTCCCACACCCTGAACTCATTTCCGGCCTCACCCCACACACATCCCAACCCCCAATTTTGTGAGCGTTCATGGCCCGCCCTACAATTTCCATACCCAGATGTGGCCCTTGGGCCAAAAAGTTTGCCCACCCCTGACCTAGATACTCGAGTGACACATAGGGGAAACTGAGGCACACACAATATTCACTGAAAACATGAAGCACTTTCCTAATTTGTCACAGGGGCTGGCGCACTGCCAGGTGATTTGTACAGGACAGGATGGAGGGAGGGTCTGTGGGTGCTGTGGGCAGGGGACACACACAAAGGCACCATCTGGCTACAGTTCCTCTCTGTTAAGACCCAGCCCCCCCAACCCCACCCCCAGCACTGCCCCACCCAAGTGCGTGGAAGCTGCTGGAAGAGCCCAGCGGGTCCTGTTGGGGCGCAGCTCCCCCACCCCTGGGAGACTTGCCAGCCCAGTTCCTTGGGGGCTTGGGGGGGAGAAGTGGGGCCTTTCCCTGGTCCCCAGGCTGGTGACTCACTGCCAGACCCCCTCATCTGCTCCCCCCCGGCCCCTCTGTCGCAAGGTGCGGGGGTGGGGGCGGAAATGGAGGCCTGCCCTTGTGTTGCTGAGGAACAGGGAAGTGTAGAGTCCCACTGCGAGGTCGATTCAGCCGCATTGGGAGTGGGGGTCACCCCAGAGCACCCCCTGCCCAGGGCCGGGCAGCCCTGCTTGCCCAGGGCACCGCCCTGCTCGGGGGGCGGGGCGCAGGACGTCACCCAGCAAGGTGGGGCACTGGAGCGGTTAATGGGCAGCCCCCGCTGTGGCCAGCCAGGACCCATCTGGTCGGGCTTGTCCGATGCCAGCACCTAATGCCCTGCGGGGGAGAAGGAGAGATCAGGGAGCACTTGACACCCCCCCAGAGGGGCAGGGTCCCAGCCCAACCCCCATCCAGAGCCCCCCCTCCAACCATGACCTGGCGGGGCCACGGACCCCCGCTGGGTGGGGAGGGGCCCCGTGGCAGAGACGGATCCTGGGCGGGGGCAAGGGGGCCCCGTGGCAGTGATGGACCCCGGGCGAGGCATGGAGGGGCCCCATGGCAGCGACGGACCCCAGGCGGGACACACGTATCTCGCCCGGGGAGCTGGGCCTTGGCGCAGGCACTGCCGACGGAGACCTGCAGCACCCCACTCGTGCTGGGTGAGGTCCGGCACAGCGCCAGCCTGTGCACCTGGCCCACGCTCTCCACCCACACGTGTGCCAGCCCCCAGCACCACCCCGTTCAGGGGGGCAGACACCTCGTACTCAAGCCGGGCCTCAGCGGGGGCCACCACCACCACGTTCTGCAGCCCCCGCAGCACCTGGAGCCCGTGCCCAGCCTGGCCCATGCAACGTCCAGTGGTACCAGCCCCATGAACGGTGCCACCGCCCCCCCCACCAGGGCCAGTTCCCAGCATGCCCTCCGCCTCACCCTCCACCAGCAGGCGGGCGGTGGAGCGGTCGTCAAAGGCGTCGCAGGTGTAGGAGGCCTCGTCCTCCGGCCCCACCCCGTGGATGATGAGGGTGCGATAGCAGTCGAGGTTGCAGATCTCATACTTGTCGCTGGCGAAGATCTCGGTGTCTCCGCGGAACCAGCGCACGCGGCCGCGCGCCTGCGACACGGTGCACTCCAGCGTGGCCTTGTGCCGCGCCAGCGCCGTCTTGTCCCGCAGCGGCTTTATGATCCGGATCGGGAGTGCTGCCGAGGGGAGCGCCTGTGAGGCCGCAGGGTGGGGAGGAGAAGCGAGGGGCTGGGGCCTGGGGGGTCACTCCCACCTCCCTTCCCCGAAACCCAGTGCTAGACCTCCCAGCCCACAGCAAACCCAAGCTCAGCGCTCGCCCGGCCCTCAGCTGGCACCTGCCATCCACTTGCCCCCGGCCCCTTCCTCACACACCTGCCAAGCCAGCCCCCTCTGCTGCCCACCTAGCCGCCCCCTCCCCCCAGGGCTTCACGGGGACACATTACCCTCCACCTGCAGGCTGGCTTCGGAGGCAGCTGCCTTGGCGACGAACCGGATGCATCCCGCGTCCTCCGGGCGCACGTTGCAGATGAGCAGGAAGTGCCTGGGGCCTGTGGAGGAAGGCGCTGGTGTGACGCCCTGCACCGTGGCTCAGCCATTGCAGGGGACTACGGGTGAGCAGCCCCCTGCCCTGGGCTGGGACGGGCAGACTGGGGAGGGGTCAGCAGGGAGATCTCCTTGGGGCTGGGGCCAAAACGTCTGAGGCTAATACAGGGCCAAGGAAGAGCCCAAGCCTGGCTGGTGTGAGTGACACACGGAGCAGAGCAGCCCCCCACGCTGAGAGATGCCTGGGGCAGCAGGCAGTGGGAGAGACAGGGGTGTGTCAAAGAAGGGGGACCTGCCATGGGGAGGAGGGGAACGGGGACACACAGAGCCCCAGAAGGAGGGAGGGGCTAGGCTGTGTTGCAGGAGTCACTGAGGTTGCGGGATGGGATGGAGCACAGGGAGTTGGGGAGGGGGTTGGAGGAATAAATAAAAAAATTAATTAATGGAGATATCCTATCTCCTAGAACTGGAAGGGACCTTGAAAGGTCATAGATTCATAGATTCATAGATTCTAGGACTGGAAGTGACCTCAAGAGGTCATCGAGTCCAGTCCCCTGCCCGCATGGCAGGACCAAATACTGTCAGACCATCCCTGATAGACATTTATCTAACCTACTCTTAAATATCTCCAGAGATGGAGATTCCACAACCTCTCTAGGCAATTTATTCCAGTGTTTAACCACCCT